AATCGTTCGCAATGGCGCCGGTGCATTTATTCTTTGTGTTCTCTCAAATCCTAATCTTCTGGATTCTTCAACCCCTCTACTTTTGACTTTCTAAACTTTTCTCACTGAATCATACTTCTTGAATAATATCTTCTAATTCTAACCTCTCCGATTACTTCTAATACCTTTACTACCTCTTCTACTACTGGATTTGAATTGACAATTATATCTCTGTGCTGATGTGGTATGGCGACATGAACTGATGTACTTACGTACGAAGTTCTGCGTTGTAACTGACTGACTGACTGACCTTCGGTATTGTGCGCGAAGGCCTAGCCTTCGGACCACTGGGCTGGCGGCATCCAACGGTGTTAATGTCTAGCTCTGATTGCTCTAGGGATTTTGCGCCACCTCACCCATTTGTCTTTGGTAGTTACTTCCTACACCCGACAGGGTTGAACTCCATTGGTCACGTCTTCTCAACTAGAACTCCGAGAATTTCCTCACGAAGCTAGTTACTAGTGAGCACTGTCACGAAATTTTGGGGCAGAGTTTTTTGGGAGGTTTGTGTTTTTACACATTTGAAATCATCAACTGAGTTTTGGGGATCTAACACCCTCAATCATTATGTTTTGTAATGCTAGTCAAACAATCATTGATTCACGATTTCAGTGATCAATCTTCATTAAAAAAAATAATATTTACAATCCTATCACATTTTTCCTGAATCGATAAATCGATACGAATTCATTCAGCGCTCTGTTGACATTTTCAACTTGTAACATTTAAACAACCGAATGTTGATTGAAATTCTGTTTTTGTATTTAAAAAACACGCAGACACACACACACATAAACAAACAGACAACATGAACCGATCAGTTAAGATAAACAAATCAATGTTCTGTTAAATTTTTGTTAGTTTTCATCTGCGGACATACACACAACTTATATGAATGTGTACACATTTATAAAAGGTTAATCAATTTTGTGTCCATTCCAATCATACCAACTAGCTTGTATACACACAGACACACATCTATGATGAACTAATTGATTGAACCTAGTGTCCAGTGAAAGCGATAAGTTGTATTCTTTAAATCTTTCTGTACCAGGGTAAGAGATATAATGTGATGCTGGGATATCAAGGCGATACTTGGTATCAGGTAAGATTGCAGATTAATTAATGATGTTGTTACGCTCGTCAATTGATATGCTTGAAACTCTATTACGAGTTCACCATAGTCGGTAAACGATAACGAAGACAAATGATGCAGTGACACGATAGGCTATTTTAATCCGTTTGTCCCCTAGCCCGGCAAACTATATCAAGAAGTCTTGATAAGGTGTAGAAAGAGTGTATTCTACAAGCACCCAGAAGTACGAGATTGACAAGCACACAAATCGAGTTTATTTATACATGATAGAAATGTCCTTGAAAGAGAGCTACAAAAATAGCGTACTAAAATACTGCATCAACCAATGACACTCAAGGATTTTCCGAGTGCTAAATGTAATCTCAAGGTCAACTGATCAACCCATGCACGAAAACATAAAAATTCGAAACTAGGACCTTTATCAAGTGTGTTCTGGGGATCTAACGTCCCCAACAGAGGTGGTGAATGTTGAGGTGGTTAGGATACATTTTATGTACGCCCGAACACAGACCACCTCGACAAGCCATGTTGTCTGATGTTGAGGTAGGCTAGAAGACAGCTAGGGGCGACAATACCATGATATAACACGAATTCATGACCACATCGACAACTGGACTGTGCCATGTTAGTAGGTGTAAACTACCTGATTGTGGTCCGTAAGGCGTTAGTAACCGATGATTAGAGACTCTGAATGGCATGACTCAAAAGTGTTAGCAGTGTCACAAGTACATCTATCCTTAGTGTTCTACTATGAATTCATGAGCTCACGACATTTTCTTATCTCTTTCTTAAATTTATTTCACTGAATTATACTTCTCGGATGATATCTTCGATCTTTTGATTATTGCTTATAATTCTACTACCACAACCACTATGGAATTTGAATTGACAATTGAATCTTTAAGCTAATGTGGTATGACAACTTGAACTGATGTACGTACGTACGTAGGAAGTTCTACGTTGTAACTGACTTGCCTACTGACCAGAAGGGATATTTGTAGGCTTCAAATATAGAACACATACACAAACTTTTCCCCCCTTAAAATTTGAATTTTATTGACGTAATATAATGTAGTAAAGGTAGATTATTGACTAATGAATAAATGAAAGATCATACTTACAAACCAATTTGTTTTTACAAGTGATATAAATTGGATGTTGACAAAAGAACTATCTTATCACACTGGGATATATTTTCTTAATTCATTAATCTCCTATTTGTAATATTAAGTAGTATAAAATTACAAACAAAAAATTTGACCAAACTAGAATATCTGTTAATGACTGACAAATAGTTATGACTAAATGAAATTCATTTCAGAACTTTGTAGTGGAATGCTTTTACGAAGAGAACACAATTGCTGAAACACCTATTATTGTAGAAAATTATAACTATGACTATTTTATTGTTCGCCTTTTTGTTTAACTATAATAAAGAACATTAATCTGGCGCCAAGCGTGTTACTCCCATTTCTCATTTTTCCTTGGTGGTTGTTAACTGGTGCTTTATTCCGGTCTCGATATCGTTTCGATATCGTGAGACCATGAACAATACAACTAGTCATCCAGTCACAGTCTTCCTTATGACTTCTGGATTTAACAGGATTTTATTTGGCAATATCGCGACAAGTAGTTACAATCTCACTACAACTGTGTGGATGGTAGGTTTATTTTAAAATCTATTAACTCAATAGTTATGTCTTCATACTGAACGATTTAAAACGAATGGAATGAATCTTTGTACGTTCTAGATTTTGCACTAGTTGTTACTCGTCAGCAAAAGAATAGGTATAATCATGAGGAGGACTTGGGATTTTTGTTGAATTTCCTCTCACTATCTTCTAGGGCGATTACACTTACTGATCACTAAAAAAGTAGCAAAGATTTACACAGTGTTTACGTATGTACGTACAAGTGGAGGTATGTACTTTCAAGTGTACGGTAGTTACATAGTAAATGTTAAAACCTCAAAGAAAACTAATTTGAACTTGGCATTTGTTCACCGAAATGTCAATGAGTGAAACGAGAAGACACACATTACTATAATACACAAAGAAACATAACATATAAATGACCTGTTTATCTAACTGGTCGGTTCATGTTATGGTATTTACAAATACAAAAATAGTAGCAGAACCAACATTTTATTGTTTAAATGTTACAAGTTGAAAATGTCAATAAGATGCACTGAATGAATTCTACCAATCTATATATTCAACAGAATATGTTTTTATCAGTTACAACGTAGAACTTCGTACATGAGTACATGAGTTCAGCTTGCCATACCACGTTAGCACAGAGAAGTAATTGTTAATTCAAATCAAATAGTGGTAGAGACATTTGAAGTATTACTGGTAATGGAGAAGATTACGATTCGAAGATATGATTAGATAAGTATAATTAAGTGAGATAAGTTTAGAAAGAGAAGATAGATTTGATGAGGAATTCAGAAGATTAGAATTTGAGAGAACACAAAGAGTGGATGCATCTACGCTACTGCAAACGATTTCGAGCCATGTCACTCAAAGCCTCTAACCATTGGTGATTTTCGTCTCGCGGACCCCAACCAGGTAGTCGACACCTAACAACATAAGTCAGTCCACTTGTTAGTGACTTCATAGATATCTGCCATATTTTGGTCTGGCCGCTCTAACCTTGTTCCAGCTTAAACCTACACCACAAAACATAGCTCGTCGAGGCAGTAGACGGTTGGGCATTCGTAACACATTTCCCAACCACTGCAACTGATCTGCCATCCTTACCTAATACACGTTTCCTAATGTCAGCATCGCTTACACGGTTGTCCCAGTATACACGAGCAATGCTTCGAATACTAGTAACCTACGAATATCTTCTACTCTAACTGACTCTGATTCACACCCTTATAGTAGAACAGAGCGAACTACTTCGCAGTAGACTCGTCCTTTGGTTAGTTAACAGATATCTTCCCTACGACATAAGTGACGCAAATCGGCAAAAGCCAGTATAACTTTGTTTATCCGTGCTGTGATTTCCTCACACACTAGGCCATCAGCGCTGATGAAACTCCCGAGATAAATGAAGCAGTCAACACACTCGACTACTTCACTCCCTATCATCAGTTCAGATGCCAGTGCAAGCCAATCTTGAGGCAACATTCTGCATTTGTAGGGTGAGAACCACATCCCCAACATGCTTTCATTGTTGCTTAGGGTGTAGTCAGAAGACTCTGCATTTTGTCATCGTCTTCACCGAATAGAACTATGTCATTGGCATATTATAGGATAGTAAGCGATCTTCCTGGTAGAAGGTCCAGCCATGAAAAATCTGACGAGGATAATCTTAACTCTAAAAGCATGTCTATGACAAAATAAAACAAGAATGAGGAAAGTGGAGTAAAGAATTCCGATGACAGTTCTCCATAGGCTCTCACCCTATTTATTTTTAAGTAGAACTTTTTTTAATATAGTTTCTGAATGATTTTCCTAAAGAAAAAGTAGCAACCTGTCGGTAATTTAAATCTACATACAACGTTTTTAAGCATTTGTGCTGTCTGAAATCAAATTAACACTCATAAACAGACAGATGATTCTTCCATGTTTAACAAAAGATATGCTTTGCAATTTATTATCCTCTAAACAATTATACTACTATAAGTAGTTAAAAATAAAATGCAAAAAAATAAAACAGAAAACATGCGAAAAAAAAAACAAAAGATAATGTATATTTATTTTTTTTACACATGCAATCAATATTTACAATATTTTCAAACTGTTCTGTTCAATGATCAATGTCTAAAAAACAAGGAAAAAAAATAATAAGCTTAAAATTAAAACCAAAAGAATACAAATTGAAATTAGAGTTTTTTTTCTCATAGTTTTACTCTTCACTCATATAGTTGTGGACTATTTTTAGAATATCTGAATGATGACTCTATTACTGATGTCAGTGAGGATGATGATGATGATGTTGTTGTGGTTAAATATTTGTTCTTGGAATTCATCACGGATAAAACAGCCAAGTCATTGAAATCATCCGTGTCTTGACGATTTCGAAATCCTTTTGCAAAAGGATTATTGTTGATTTTGATCCGTATCACATCAGGATTTTGATAAGCTGTCACTGTATAGAATTGTGTACCAGGTATAATATATGAACCAATTAATTCCAGATGATTTGACTGATCAGATAATCTTGATGAATTGGATGTAAGATGATAAGATTGTGATTGATGATGATCAAGGAAGTCTGTTAAACGAACCACAGAAATTCTTGGTATATAATAATGCATACTATTGACATGAATCTAGATGAGTACGAAAAAATTGGGACAAAAATGTAAAAAATGGAATTGGTTATGGACGATTCGAAAAATTATGTGCGTGTTTTAAATAAGAACATTGTTGAAATTGGATTACGGAGAGATAGGGAGCCAATCAGAGGTGGTCAGATGAGCAGGTCATTTGATGACTATCAGAAGTGTCTTGATGGCTTGTGATGCTTGACAGATTGATATACTTGAAACTATTACGAGTTCACCTTAGTCGGTGAACTAGAGCGAAGACGAGTGATCTAGTGACACGATAGGCTACTCTAATCCGAGCGTCCTAAAGCCCGACTAACGATAACAAATGGTTCTGATAAGACGTAGAACGTGTATTCTACAAGCATCCACAAGTACAGAAATCGAGTTTATTTATACATGATAGAAACGTCCTTGAGAGAGCCATAAGGATAGCGTACTAAAATAACACAGCAACCATTAGTAGTCAAGGATTCTCCGGGTGGAAAATGTCATCTCAAGGTCAACTGATCAGCAATTGTGTTAAAACATAAGATCCAAAAGTGAGTTCTGGGGATCTAATGTCCCCAACATGGCTTCGCGCATCATAATAAATAAGCTGGATATTTCATATTAATGAATAAATGAGAACCTTTTCGTCGAATTGGCTTATTTACGGTAAATTGATCCTTGATTAGTCGGTGATTTTTTAAATTATTTACGTTTAATCGTTTAGTGACGATCCAATACAACCAATCAACTTGTAATGTGATTATTAGCTTGAGTGAAGTTCATATTACATGTATTATGTTGAGATATAGAGCGCGTTTAAGACGTAACAGTAACGACAGGTATAAACAGACTGATGAAAAAGACGCCTCATCAAAATTCCAAAGAAAGGCGATCTCAGCAAGTGTGAGAACTATATAGGCATAAGTCTTCTCTCATTAACATAAAAAGTCTTCAACAAAGCGTTCAGTAGATGCCAAACTTCAATATCAACAGGCTGAATTTCGTAAGAATCGGTTGTGTATTGATCAAATAGCGTCATTGAAGATCATTGTGGAACAATCAGTTGAATGGAATTGACCACTCAACATTAAGTTCATTTACTACGAGAAAGCGATCGACAGGATGGCACTATGTAAGTTACTTAGGCGTTACGGTGTGCCTGAGACTCTTTCGAAGTGAGGACTGGTGTCAGACAAGGTTGCCGACACTCACCCTATTTCTTTCTTCCAATGGGTTATGAAGGCATCATCATCTGAAGAGAAGCAGGGTATACAGAGGTTAGTTGGGATGCGGCTGCACGATCTGGACTTCTCAAAACAACTATCAACCAACACCAAAGTCACAATTTTCAATATAAACAGTCGAAACAGTTCTACTGTATGACGCAGAAATTTGAAGGACCGCGAAATGCATCATCTATAAGATACAAGTGCTTATTAACAGTTGTCTAAGCAAGACACTAAGGATCTATTGGCCAGACACAGTCAGCAACAACCTACTGTGTGACAATACAAACCAGATTCAAGCAGATGAAGAAATCAGGAAGAAAAGCTGGAAGTGGATCAGACACACATTAAGGATAGCACTCAACTGCGTCACCAGACAAGCTCTCACTAAGAGTACTCAAAGTCAAAGGAATATAGAAAGACTAAAGAACACATTACTAATCAGAAGAATGAACAATAATTGGACAGAACTATTTCGGATTGATTGAATTTCGACATTAACACTAAGCGTTCTGGACACACTACGAAAAGCACCTAACTGCGTCACAAGACAAGCCCTCACTTGGAACCCTCAAGGCAAAAGGAAAAGAGGAAGGCCAAGGAACACATTATGCCGAGAAATAGAGAAAGACATGAGAAGAATGAACAAACATTGAACAGAACTGGAGAGGGAAGCCCAGGACAGAGTTGGTTGGAGGGAACTGGTGGGCGGCCTATGCTCGATTGGGGGTAACGGGCGTAAGTAAGTAAGTAAGTAAGTAAGTAAGTAAGTAAGTAAGTAAGTCATAAAACCGACATTGTTAGATTGTATCAACAAAACTTACCATATTTTTATTTGGTTTCAATTCTTTAGTATTTGTAATTTTGACACGAGTAAAATTCACACCGGATTCCATCCAATAGGCACCAGTTTTTGGTGATTCCTCTTGAATGTAATATTTTCCTTCTAAATAAAAGAAGAATATATATCTATGTAGGAACAAAATTTTATCTTTATATAAAAATATTCAATTGTCAGTGCTTAATTCTGTGTAAAAAATGTTCTAATTGAAACTACATTATGGGGTTGTGAAGATTGTTAAGTTACACATTTTGAACACATGAACCGATCAATGTTAGACCACCATTAGAAACCTGGAAGCACTGAAAGACAGCTTGTTCGTCCTGATATGGGACTCATTAGCAGCGCGCATTCTTGACTCTGCACTCAGGATCTTCGGTCTTGTGTGCGAACGCTTAGTGACTAACTTCATGAGGAATCTTTTACGATTTCTAGTGGGAAGTCGTGACCAGTGAAGTCCAATCTGTTCGGGTGTAGGCAGTAACTACCGAAGACAGTATATAAGGTTGCGCCAATCCGTGAATTGATCAAGTTCGACCTAAACACCGTTGGATACCGGCTGAGTGGTCCAGAGGTTAGGCGTTCACGAACAAGACCGAAGATCCTGAGTTCAAATCCTGCGGAGTGCAGGAGTCATGGATGCGCATTGTTGATGAGTCCCATACCAGGTGGTGGTGGTCTAACATTGATCGATTCATGGTTTCAGAATGTGTAATCGAAACTGAATTATAGATATACTTTAACAAGAGATTATATTGTACTTAAAGTGTAACCATTTTCCAAGTTAATTTAATCTGAGTAGTCGGTTTTTATTGGTAAACAGCCAATGATCTTTCAGTGGCCCGCAATCTGATCCCAATTTCGTATGAAAGTATGAGCATAAATCGTTGTGTTCTCTGAAATTCTAACCTTCTAAATTCATCATCATCTCTTTATTTCTCTTCCTCAAGTTATCTCACTGAATTACATACTTCTGGAATCATATATTCGAACCCTAATCTTCTCCATTACCGGTAATACTTCTACTATCTTTATCACTATGGGATTTGAGCTGGCAGTCGCGTCTCTGTGCTAATGTGTTGTGGCAACCTGAACTTATGTACGCATGCACGAAGTTGCACGTTGTAACTGACTGACTGACTGACTGTGTGACGGCAGTAATAAGAAGCAAAATGTGGATTCAGTCAGATGAGTTTATTTCATGCAATCGTTTATGCAGACAGATATGAGAGCACAAAGCGTAAAAGCAGAGTAAAGCAAAGTGAAATGAAGTGGAGAAGGTGAGTGAAGCATTCTCATGTTATGAGGTATGACTGAGTATTTCTAGTCAGATAAAAATAATCCAGTAAGGAGTAAGTAAGGAGTACACACACCTTCACACATTTACACACAACCAAGATTTTGAGCGAACAGCTGATTAAGGTCAAAAGAATAGTAACTCGGACAGAATGTCCCAAAGCCAACACAAGCCATGTGGGTTCAACATATTGGCACCCACACAATATTATGAAAGTATTATCAAGAACACTTAGATTCAACTGTCAACATTCAAAATACATTGCTGGTATAGACATTCAGGCTTATCATTTATAACAGAACTAAATGTCAATCTTCTCTGTTTGTACTTACCTAATGTTTGTGATTGATACAAAATTTCTGACTGACTATTTACAATCCATCGATCACCTTGATGTTTAAAAATATGTGGTTGTATCAATAACATGTCTAATAAGAAAATATACTCCTCGATTGGATTTAAACCATATACATCCACTGATAATGATGGGAAAATTCGTCTAAATTAAGCAGAGATATGCAAAAGAGAACAAGAGAGAGAGAGGGGGGAAAATAAGAATCATTTAAATTTTGAACGGTTAGATTTTCAAAACGTTGTTTATATCAGGTTGAATGATGAATATACAGTAAGTTTTAGCAGTACTGGATGGGGTTGCTAACCCCACGACCAGCCGTCCTCCTTTATCCGGGCTTTGGGTCGGCAGTAGTGGCAGAGGGGGGGGGGCTCAAGGCCGATTATGAAAATTAGAACAACACAACTATGAGCGAACAGTAGTGTTGTTTTCAATTAGATCGTTATCAGGCTTTAAACTGTAATATGCATGAATATTTATATAGAAATGTTAAACCAAATCAAGGCTATTTATCATGAGTCAATAATCACAATGAATAAGCAAATGTACAAGTTGATAGTAGCAAGGGAGACAATTGTAATGCTAGTAAGTTGTAAATTTAAATACAAATTTGATGTTAGCAGCTAGGTAGTCATTAAAAACGAAACTTATATCTCGCGGATGTCCTAGTATACAACACTGACTGCGTCTAGTTCGATAATTATTGAAAACTAATTGTACTACTGTGAAATTCTACAGTAGTATATATGTCTGCCGTGACTAGATGTTCAGAAATCTCATGTTAGAATGAAACCATCGTGCAAACTCCGTTTTCATACTTGGCTAAAGTTAATTTATAATTTAAACTACGAAACTGCTCTGATCTGTTTATGTTAAACGAAGTACACAATCTTAATGATAAGGTCAATTGAAATTCTAACAAATTTTGTATTGCAATGATATTTTTTCGCAATTACAGTTATGGAGATTAGTGTTTTTACACAATGAAATCATCAAACAATCATTATTAGACTACAATTAGAAATCTGGCAGCACTGAACCGCCGTTTCGTCTTGGTATTGGACTACTGATCAGCAGTGCGCATCCA